TGTGTTTTTCTTGAAGGCAGAGAGTTACACGGCCTTCCACATGGGTGTTTCCTTGCCCGTATAATGAAGAAATGTGTTTTTCTTGAAGGCACGGAGTTATACGGCCTCCCATATGGGTGTGTCCTAGCCCGTATAATGAAGAAATGTGTTTTTCTTGAAGACAGAGAGTTATACGACCTCTTATACGGGTGTCCGTGCTCGTGTAATTCATCGATCACTTAAAAGTCACTCTTTAAGTTCCATACCCTAAATTAGTTCATTCATGCTCAAGATAATGTAAAAGGATGGTTTAGAATAAAAGTGTTCACGAAAATCTAAAGAAAAATTGATTTAGGAAAAATTAGACCTTAGGCCCATTAAGGCTCAAACCGAAATTGAACTACATAATCAATGAAATAATACTTAATTAAGTTAGAACATGGATTAGTACCTAATTTGGTAAATGTTAGATGCGAAATGGTAGTTTGGAGCATAAGGAAAATAACTTAGAAATGTTAAAATGTAAAGTAAAATAAAATGAAATATAATTGTTTACTTACTCTTATGTTATGATTTTATTTTCTTTCCAATAATGTATGTGATGTCATGATTAATGAATGATGGTTATGCTTGAGTTGTGATTGGTAATGAGAATTGTGGCTATGATAACCGACGCGCCAATGATAATTGTACTTGCTAGATACGGATTGATGTTATTTATGTCGTTATGTTGTCCGATTTTATCCATGTTTTCATAACATGGTTACGCGATCATTTAGGACATGTACTTGAGTATCATTATTAGCATGCATTGTCATTCAAAATGCATATGCATGCCAAAGCTCATGAATGATGTTTTAAGTCATGGAAACATATTTTATGCTATGAGTTTCCGATAGCGATCGGAAGTATTTAGAGAAAAAGATTTTCATGACTTTAAGGATTTTTATGAGGATGGGCTTCATGGGTTTTCCATATGGTAATGGTAATGGTTCGAGTACGGCAAGTACGGACGTGCACTTTTAGAGGCTTGGTAGGGTGCGTCCGTGAATGGGTTTGGTTTGCCGGATATATGTGATGGAAACCCCGAAGTACTTAAATGAGATATGTCCAAAGACGAAAAAGGATTTTCGGATTGTTTATGAAATATTTTATGACATAAGGAAAAAGGATTCATTATGCATATCGGTATTTTAAGCATACATACACATGTATTTACACTACATGCATATGTTAACTTACCGAGCCGTGGCTTATACGGTTCCTTGTGGTGTAGATAAATAAGATACTATGGCTCACTTCTCTACGAAGTCGACTATCGAGGGAGACATAAGACGCATGTAGCTTGGATGAGGGTTTGGCTTCCGAGTAGACCCATTACACGAGTAGTTGAGATAAAATCAGTCATGTATGTATGTAGTTAAGGTGTGTAATTGAATCGGTAATAATAAATAATAATATCGTAATAGTAGTATAATTATTTTAAATTATCCACTCGCTTATTGACATGATTAGAAGTTTAGCAAACATGTAAAATGAAATAAATTAAAATAAAATATCATGATAAATAAACGCGACATAAACGTGAAAAATTTGTAGCGAAGTTGAAGTAAGAAATAAGACTCGAACGTCATTAAAAGATTTTTGCCACATAAATATTCTTACATACGTTACAATAAGATCATAGTGCCTTATTAGCTTACATTCATTGCACTTCGAATGTGGCTAACGGCGGTAATATTCTCAACTTATTAGGTCCTAGGTTGGAGGTGTTACACAAACTATTTAAAATATACTTTTATCTCTCTCTCTCTCTCTCTCTCTCTATATATATATATATTAAAGAATTAAAAAACTCATTTAAAAAGCAAAAAAATAATTTATTGTATAAATTATAATAGTATATTTTAAAAAACTAAAGCACTAAAGTTTAAAAATTTTATTTCAAAATTCATATATTAAAAAACTAAATTTATTAATAAATAAAATTATATCAAAAAATTAATTTGATGAGAATTTTAATAAGAAACAAATAATTAAAAAAATAAAGATTTATTTTTAACACCTAATTACATGATATATATATATATATATATATATATAGAGAGAGAGAGAGAGGACGAGTGCCTGGTTGGCTTGTGCAACTAGTTTGCATATATATAGAAGGAAACAAAAAGAAAAAGAAAAGAAAAAAGCTCGTGCATAGTTGGCATGTGCGACCGGACGGCGTGCTTGGGCTTGTAATTGCGAGCCCATACGCCATGCACGGGCTACTCCTCAATCCGAAAAAAAAACCTTGTAACTTTTGACGAATTTGAGGTCGTCGGAAGCTTCATCGAAAAATCGAGGATCAAGTTTCAAACACCTAAAAATTGAATTTTGATATCATTTTTTCTCAAATACCTCTAAATAACCGGAATAAAGTCAATAAACACATCTAAAAGCTTAAAAATCATTTTAATGTACACCAAAATAAAAGAAAAATATACAATCGAATCAAAACTTTTTTTCCTTTTTAGCTCCAATCCATCTCTTCTAACTATCCATTGGCTTAAAACCACCATGGACAAACTCGTCTCTCAAAGATAAAAAAATCTAACGGATTTTCATCGGTCAAAATGACCTAAATAAGTTTGGCCGACGATCTCTCTCCTCTCTTCTTTCCTCCATTCTCTCTATACTTAAGGACTAAAATGAATCGGAAAATGAAGATATAGATCGAAAAGAAATGTTCAAAAATATTAGAGACCAAAGTATAAAAAATTGCATAACTTTTACCCACGAAAGTTGAAAAAAAAAAAGCTACAATAAATGAATGGCAATGAACAATCAACACCTCGGTTCTTTTTGTTTTTTTCTTAATCTCTTATGATCCGATCCGAATATACTATTATTCAATCCGAGTCGCATCGATTGATAGCCCCGCCAACCTACGAGTGTAATATTAGGCCTAATTATTATCCTATTTACTAAAGCAAAACGGTTTTTTACCGTAGCAATGAACAATATTAATCACTATACATTGTTACGGTGCTTGGTTTTTTTTTTACTAGCATGGCCTTCTTCCCCCTCCCCCCTTTTTTTTGTTTACTTGTTCATATGAACGATGAACGACTTCCTCCCACCTCCTTTCTTTTTTCCTTTCTAAACATTGATTTTCCTAAAAATTGAACTTTTTTTTTAATTTTCATTTCTTAATAATGTTGGATGTTAAAATTTTAAAGGAACCAACAATTAATTGGGTATTAAAATTTTAAAGAAACCAATAATTTATTTTCTTTATTATTTATTTTCAAAATTTAAAAATACAAATAAAAAATAGTTAAATATAATTTTTTGATGAAAAAATTATAATTATTTTTTTATCATAAAATAAATTATTAAACTGAAATAATTTTTATAAATGATTTTATATATTTTATCCAACCTACGACTTAGCACTGGTCAAAAATCTAGTAAGAAATACTAAAACAAAACGGGAAAGTGCTACACATTCCCTGTTCACCTTTTTTTTTTATTATTTTTTTTTTGGGTTGCTTAGCCAAGCTTGTAAGAAATTTTTTTATTTTGGTCATCTGTTTTGTAATATATATATTTTTTATTTTGGTCATTAAAAATTTACTATATTTGATTTTTATCTCTATAATAAATATTAAAATTTTATTATATTTAATTTTTATCCGAATAATAATTTTTTTCTTGGTTTTTAGTAAAAATTTATGTTCTTTTTTTGTTATATTTTGTGATATGTTTTTATTTTAGTGATTAGAGTTTTATCATATTTGATTTTTATCTTTATTATACTAAAATTGAATAAAATTCACTATCCTAAACTTTTTTTTGTACTATTCACTTCATTTTTTTTGTTTTTACCTTCACAATGTAATATTCAGTCCTTTTTTTTTTTACCTCATAATGTACTATTCAATCTTAGTTTTTTTTTTTTTGTAATTTTCAAATTATTTCGTTTTGATCCCTAAAATTTTAAAATAAAAATTTTAATCCCTAGCTGTTGTACTTGCATGCCTTTTTTTTCCTTTGCTTTTTCCACCAATTTATGTCCTTTTTTGTTTTTTTTGTTTTAGTTAATTGGGTGTTAAAAGTTTTAAAAATCAATTGTTTCTTTTTTTCACATAAATTGACGATTATATAATATATATAGATCAAATTTATGTACTTTTAAAAAATAATTTTCTCATTGATATTAAATAAGAATAAATTTTTATTTTTTTATTGGTTAATTTTTATGTAAGTCTATACATTAATTATAACTTTATTTTTTAGATGTATTCTTATAAAACAATATATTTTTAAAGTATTTATTTTTAATTTCTTAATTAATATTTCAGGCTTAAATTATAGATTACAAGTTTTTATATAGGAATCACTAAATAAAGAAAAATAAATCATGTTTTTTTTAAGTAGAAATTTTATGAAAAACACAAAAAATAGTAATAATTAAATAAAAATTAATGAAAAAAATTATAAAATTTTGAAATGATTTTGTTCTAACTATCCGTATCGTTGCGTGGATAATTTCAAAAATTAATCTTCTCATTAACATTAAATAAGAATTTTTTTTTCCATTTGTTAGTTTTTATAAAAGTCTATTTATTAATTATAACCATATTTTTTGAAATATAATATTATAAAAAATATATTTTTAATTTTTGATTAATATTTTATTTAAAATCAATCCATAAAAAAAGAATGATTTGTGTTTTTTTTAAAAAAATATTTATAAAAATTATTAAATAAATTATTATAATAATTTTTTTTAAAAAAATTAAAATAATTTTATTCTAACAGATCGCAACATAACGCGGACAGTCAGCTAGTTGAGTACTAGACTAGCACGATAATAATTTTTCGCCCACAGGCCTTAAAGTAATTTTTGAAAACTCTCTCTCACACAGCAAAAAGAAACTCTCAACAAAAAGAAATATATATAGGCCCTTCTAGAAAAGAAAAAGGAAAAACCCTAACTCAGTCTGTTCGATTCTCTCTCCCGTTGTCCACCGATGGAGTTCTGGGGTAAAATTTTCTCTCATTTGCACTTTTTTACATTTCGATCGATCGGTCCATCTTCTACTTGTGTGATTTTAGTTTTCGATTTTTGCATCTTGAAAATAATAGAAATCTTGAATTTAGATTGATGTTTTCGCCATTTGCCGTTTGTTATCCTTAGGTGTTGAGGTCAAAAGTGGCGAAACCCTTAAGGTTGAAAGTGGCGAAGGCTTCATCGTCCATCTTTCTCAGGTTCTATGTTCTCGATTTTTAATGGACGTTGTTTGGCATTTTTGCATATTTAGTTAGTTCTCGAATTGTTTTGATTTCTGTTTTACTTTTTTGACAGGCTTGCCTTGGCGAGGCCAAAAAGGACAAAGGGAATGAATCTGTCTGCCTGTTTGTGAGCGTTGATGATCAGAAGCTTGTTCTTGGAACACTGTCTCATGAGAAATTCCCACAAATACCTTTTGACCTTGTCTTTGAAAAAGGCTTCGAGCTCTCTCATAACTTGAAAAATGGGAGTGTTTTCTTCAGTGGATACAAAGTTACTCAACATGAATATCCTTTCTGCACAAATTTATGTTTCTTAACGCATTTTTTTCTGTTTTTTTTTTTTTTAATTTTTCTGTTTTTTTTTCTCTTTTTGTTGTTTCCTTGACTGCCTTCTTGTATTTTCATCACGAGTGATAGTGACGGTGAGTCTTTGTGATGTATTGTCCCCTTTTTTTTTTTTTTTAATTAATTCTGAAGTTTGGTTTTTTTCAAAAACCCTTGAATTAACACTTGTTTTCCACCTTTCAGAGTTTGATTCTGACAGCGAAGAGGATCTCCCAGTCCCTGTTGATAACGGTAGTGATAACATTGTCTTTGTGCGTTGTCTTGACTCATTTTTATTTGACTTGATGTAATACATATATATTTTAATTTGTAGGGAAACAAGAGGCTAAGCCATCAAAGCCTGAAAAAGATAATGCTGCAAAACCTGATTCTAAGCAGAAGGTGAAGATCGTGGAACCAAACAAAGATTTGAAACCTGGACCTGAGGATGATGACAGTGATGAAGAGGATGATTCTTCTGCTGATGGCGAGTCCAGTGATGATCAGGTACTGATTTTTTTCTGTAAGCTGTTATTTCAGTTTGGCCTTTTGGCATGCACAGCTCTGACCCTACGGCTATAGTAGCTGAAACACACATACATGCACGCTAGTTTAAGTAGGCTTTGTCTGTGATCATGGAGAAAATTCCAAAGGGACTTCAGAAGACTGAAAACTATGTTTACCTTGCATAAAGATCTCTGATACCTATCTATGTTCATTGTGAATGAGTGATTCATCCAATTGCATTTATTGCTCAATCTTTCTGCGAGGACTTATTGCATTGATACAGAATATGGTGCTTTTCAAAGTGTGAAAGCAACCAAATTATCAGCTATCAAACCAGGCCCATTAGAGAACTAGAGTCATCTATAGTTGCTTATTGTTAACTCACGTCAATTAATTCTGGTTTTCCGGTCAGTTAATTTTGGTTGGTGCAATTACTATTTTAATTAGTTAGCCATATGGGAGTGTATCAGCTAATCTAACTGATGTATGATCATTTATGGTTGCTGTGTTGCTTGTTATGGATTGTAGTTATAACATCTCTAAATTTTGCTAATTGTCATGTAATTCTTTCAGGAAATGATGGCCAATGAAGAGGATGAGAGTAGTGAGGATGAGGATGATGAAAGTGATGATGACAGTGATGATGGAGATGTTAAGACCACAAAGAAGGTGGGATTGCTTGTATCCTTGCATGTCATGTTTGACTTAAAAATATCCCTGCATTTTTCTTCGAGGTTATATTGATTGGTTGTCTGTGATTTTTGCTACTGAAGGCTGAAGCGGGCAAGAAGAGATCTGCAGAAGCTGCTTTAAAAACCCCTGTACCTGATAAGAAGGCTAAGTTTGCGACTCCTCAAAAAACTGGTGATTTTCTGTCTTCACTGCTGTTTCTTGCTCAAGGGATATTTCTAGTTTCTTCACTTTTTCATTTTTGAGTTCTCTCACATGGATTACCTTTGGGTACCATTTAACTGTCATCTCAGATGTACACATTGACGCCTTTGGTTGGGATTAGTTCAGGATCTTATTTTTATGCATTAGTTTTTTTTTTTTTTTTTGGGATGCTGTTGTGTTTTGACCGTCTAGCTTGCTTAAACGTGCATGATTTAATTGGATACTCTTGCCACTGTATTATTATTTTCAAATTACAGACTGGCTGACTGATTGTGCAGATTTGAAGAAAGTGGGTGGCCATACGGCAACTCCTTACCCCTCTAAACAGGTTGCGAAAACATCTGCTGCTAACAGTCAGAAGAAGGAGCAAACTCAAAAATCATTTGCTTGCAGCTCCTGCAACAGGTATGTTACTTGGTCAGCTCCTGAGATCAATCTTCTTTAACCAGAGTCTTATATCAAAATGTTCACAGGTCGTTTGGCTCGGACAATGCTTTACAATCTCATACAAAGGCTAAGCACGGTGCTGCATAGGTTGCTTTTTAAATTTGCTTGTTCAGATTGATGTTTTTGGGTGCCCTATGAGACTGAGATTAGGTTTAGTAGAAATGTGGAAGGTGTTAGTCATTTTATGTTTTCAATGGTTTTTATCCAGTTCTCCGTGTTTGATGGATGGTATCTTGAACTATTTGGTTAAGAATCAATGTCAATATTTGCTAGGTTTCATTGGCCTCAGAAGCTGAAACTGAAATTGAGTTGTTTTATTCCTTCACAAGTTCTGTCTCAAAATGTCTTTTTCCTTATTTAGCTGTTTCAAAATTTCTTTCATGAAAGAGTCGAAGAATTGAGTATTAAATTTTACTTTTTTATCAACTACATTTTTAATTTTACGATAAAAATTGTATAAGTTAACATTATTTAATGTATTTTCTTACATATTAATTAATGTATTTTTTTAGTATGTGTAACGAGTCTAGTAGGAAATTTTTTATTTTTTATTATTTATTTTATATATATATATTTTTTTGTGGGAGGAAGTATTTGATTATTTTTGGCAAGTCTGCTGATGTATGTTTCAGGAGAGAAATAAAAAGGGTGGTTTGTGGAGGTGGTGGTAGGTTGGTCCGATCGTCTGGCATGATCATGGATTGCATGGTTACATGATTTGGGCTGGGGAACTAAAGAATTGGCATGCTACAGGCTTACTTGGTTCTCACTTTAAAACGATGCCTAAACAAAGTAAAAAACCAATACCCCGAGAAACGCTTCGTAGATTAGAATAAAGATACAGGCGTTTTTTTTTTTTCCCTCTCCATTCAGAATTCACTTGAAATTGTTTTAGGGTTGTGACTAAATGCCACCAAATGTTTTTTTTTAAAAAAAAAAAAACCAAAGAAGAAAAACAAGGCTGATTGCATAAATTATATTTTTCTGTTTTCTTTTTTTTCCTTTAACCATTTTTTCATTTTCATCAAGATGCTTCGTGTTATTAAGAAAAGGAAAGAAAAAAAAATAATAAGATTTGTGAGTCGACTAATTCAAAAGACACGTGACACGATTAGCTAGATCACTAAATTCCATCAACAGCATTACCATTAGAAGTACCGCATTAAAGATCAAACAATGAACACAGCAGAGGGATATATTAAACTTTTAAGCAGATCTCAATAAATCTTCAACAGATGGAGGCTTGATTAAACAAACAGAAACGATACCAAATGGGTTAAATGTGTCTATTTCTGTCAATAACAAAATGCATTGACCTTTCAAACAATATCAAAGACAAACGATACCAAATGGGTCAAAAGGGTCCGAGCTCCCAATTTCACATTAAAAATATCATTGGGATTGGAAGAATTATATTTTTTTTAAGGAGATAATTGTTTTTTAAACGGTAAGGATTTTCTAAGACTTATTTCATATCGAGACTAATTCATTCTCTAGTTAAGTTTTAAGAAAGACATCCACGTATAAATTGATGTATTGGTACTTTTGCATGGCCTCTTCTAATATATGACACATACCTGCCTTACAAAATTCGTAAACATAAAACATAAAGACAGACACAGCTAACAAATCCTATCGCTTATAGTCACTCAAAGGCATGATTTATCAAAGACAAGAATGATTACGAATCAGTTAAATGCACAAAAAAGAACACATTCGTGACCATGATGATCAATTACATACCAATTCAAACCAGCAGTTCAATCAGAGACCGAGAGAGAAAAGGGGAGCCTAAGTTAAACGTAACTCGCAACAACGAGAGATCAAAAGGTGGACTCGGAGAAAAAGAAAGAAGATCTCTCTTTCTTGCTTTGCAAGGAATCAGACGAACAAAGACGATAGAGAGGAGTTGATGAAACTAAAGATGTTGGTGGTCTACGGGTGACTGTCAAAAGATTCCAAACAACCTGTTGTTGCCTTCTGAAGTGGTTTTCTCATATGTTAATTTGAATTTCAGAATTTATGATTTTGTCATCATTCAGATTGTCCTTGAATATTGACGTTGGTGTCTCAAATTAAAATACCGCCGTTTGTCGCATTTTTCAGTATGATCTTTTGGATCTTCGGCTTCTAAATTGTGGGCATGAGAAGAGAGGTTTTTCGCCTTTTTTTTTCCCCTTTTCCCAAAATAGATAGAATGAGTAGAATTGAGTGTTTAGATTTGGTTGATCTACGATATTGAAATTGTCAACAAGCTCATCAACAAACTCCCGTGCATCCATGACCGTAACGGTAAGTTAGATTAATGGGGCTTTGTTTTCTGCTTGTACAGTGATAAGCAAATGAAACTTGGGTGGTAAAGTCGGGAAAATGAGAAAACATCCCACTACAGGAAATGATGATCGGGTTGTGCTTGCAAGTTGCAACAATTGAAACGGTAGGGTGACGGTGAGTAAAATATCTTTATACTATTTCATGAACTAAAAACAAATATTTTTCAGTAAATAAACTAAATTTATAAGTAGACGCTTAAATATTTTATCTCTACCGATTTTCTTAAAATGTTTTAAACAACAGGAAAAAACAAGAAAAATATTTTACCCAAAACAAACATCCTATTGTGAGTGAGTGAGAGGATGAAGACAAATCAATTTTCTTACTGCCTCTATTAAAAATTGGAATAAAAACCAAGTGTGCAGTGCTGCTTTGCAAAAGTTAAGTTTCTTAATGTTTTCAATATCAACATATGAAAACCATCCAAAAACACCTCAAAAAACATCAAAGCACTTTAAAACATAGCACAATCCCATTATCAAAGACCGCCTAGGTGAAGGACTACATTTAAAACCCACATTTATTCAGGACTCAATTGCACCCAAATTAAATTCAGGAATTAATAATTTTGATGAATAGATCACGAGGGCTACAAGTGGCACCTTCTACCCTCTAAACATCTGACTTTTTAAAGACAATTGATGAGGTGAGAAAGGTTCAAGGCCGGTGAAAGAGAAAACACTGAACAACATGCATAGAATAAATATTTTAATCATAAGCTCACAACACAATCTCTAACACAAAGTGAAAAAATAACAATCCACAAACTTGAAAGTATTGCACGATACAAACAAAACATAATTTTACCAATGTCCCAAGATAACTCAATCTGTATTCCACTTCAAGAATCAAAGTATGACAAAGGATTTAGTGCCATTTCCCCTTGCATGGAAGTCAATGTTTTTCCTCATTGTACAAAGACCCAAGAGCTTTCTTGATGCCTCAACAACATAAAATTGGAACTCCACTAAAATGCTCTGCAGGTAAACAACAGCCAACCTGTATACAAATATCATTGTAAGCTGCCAAAAAAGATTGAGGCCGATCCTGGAAGCAGGAAAGCCTGAACCTGCAAAACTTGTAAAGTAGGTAAGATGATGGTTTTAAGAAGAAAATGAAATAATCATATAAAGGCAAAAGACAATTCCAAACCCTATTAAATTTGATTACCCAATCCTCACTATAAGGATATAAGAGTTGATTTGATCAGATAAAGCATCCTACCAGGTTTTAGTGGGAGGGACTAGGATAAGGATTCAAAACATCTCCCAGCGAACAACTATTCGGTGATTTAAAGATGATAATTCACTGAAAGAGATAATTTTTTAGAAGGTTTTGATAAAACAAGAAAAAAAATTTAGAATTTTCTAAAAATAAATATCTTGTATAAAAGAGATTGAACTATCAATGTATCAACCTTGAAGTTTTGAATTTACTCCAGAAACAGTTCCAATATGACACGCAACACTCACAAGGTGAGTACATCAGCTTAACATCTAAATTTCAAACCAGGTGTCATATTTGATAAAACAAATTTGGAAGACAGTGGACATAACGTGCACCAACATGCTGCATATGCAATTGCCTCCAATTTAAAAAGAAGAGAGATCTTAGAAGGATCTAAATATATTTTATGCCTTTGTTTTTTTTTTTCCTCCCCTCATTCCATTTCTGGTTCCTTTTAATTTAAGAAGGTGATAGGGACAAGAAATTGAATTTACTTTCATAACACAAAGACACTGAACCTGTACTCCACCTGCACAGTGGAAATGGCAGTGAGCTATATTTTCTGAATGGGGTGTCTCATAAAAAAAAATTGCAGCATTTCTTTGTCCAAGATAATGACTTTTGTATGAAACAAACATGTAGCAAAGGGACAAACCAGAGGTTTCCAAGAGGGTCACTAGTTCTATCCATCAAGCTCCTACTAGTGCTGAGCATCATCATAATGACCACCATTGTCAGCAAAGTCACTGCTATTCCTGTCATTGTCAGGGTTTCTGTTATCAACTCTAACACCAGATTCTGTCTGTTCCTTTTCCCTGTTCCACTGTTCAATCCTTGCCCTTCTTTCAGCACTGCCTTCTCTGACAGGACTCCTGTTTCTCCTCCCCCAGGGCTACCCCGTCCTCCCCTGCGTCCAGGACTTCTGCTTCTAGGCCTCCTGCCCCTTTCTTGGTGATAATCCCTATCATCCTCTCTCCTATTAAAACCACGACCACCATGTGGACGCTGCTCCTCATGACCACGATGCCTAGGAGGACTATGGCTTCTACTGCGGCTACGTCTTCGCCTGTTCCTCCCAAATAATTGCCTCCTCAGCTCCCTGAAATCGACAACAGAAAAATCAGTTAGACCACTATGTCACTGCATCACTAGGCTATCTGCTGAATAAACAATTACGCTGAGAAAGCCACCTGCTAATCTTCTTAAGATGCATGAAGTTGCAGTAACCACCTCGATTGCAAACATTTTCCTCATATTGCCTACATGTAGCTTCGCGGAAATCCGTGACAGGAGAGAAGTCAACAATGATGGGTCGCCCTAGTATATTCAGAGTCCATGAAAATATCAAAATCTACGTCCATATTGAACTCTTTTTAAAATACTACAGATATATCATAATAGGTTAGCTATTTTCTCCTAGATAATTAGAACAGAAGCAGAACTAATAGATCCCCGGTGAAAACATTTAAAATAGGAAAATCCAACACATAAAAGATAATTGCAAGTTGAATTATTAACAAGGCATTTACAACCATTAAAATGATAACTATACATATAATATAAGAACTAAAAAAAAAAAGAAAAAAAATCACAAGAAAAAGAAATAAAAAGGGATTATGAATAGTAATAACCTGCATAAAATCTTCCATTAAGATTGCGAAGGGCATTAGCAGCATGCTCTTCCTCTCTAAACTGGACATAAACATTACCCACCTGCATACACAACAAGTCCATAACAAAAAACAAACCCATTATACTAATTTATTATTATTATTTTTTAATTCAGAAAAAGAAAAGAAAAAGAAAGTACCATGTGGTCAGCAAGATTATCACAGATATTTAAGCTCTCAATATCACCATACTTGCTGAGCTCTTCAAACAAATCCTCATAAAAATCCTCAAAGTGGTCTTGGATCTTGCGGGGATCGAGGGACTGGGATTGAGCCTGAGGATCTACACCAGGAGTGAGCATGTCAGGTCTCTGGTACATGTTAGAGAGCAAAAGGGTCGGGCTGATTGTGGGCTTTGTGTGAAGTCTGGAGCATCGGTCACCATGTCTGCAAGCTCCGATCTTGAAGTAGAATGGACAGTTCACCCTGTCTTTCTCTGTCCCGAATATGGATGCCAAGTGCTCCGCCATGCTCTCTCTCTCCCTTTACGATCTAATTCTAGGGTTTTTATTTTTTTCCCCCTCTATACTTGTGCTAAATACTAAAATTCTGTGTTTCGAGAATTAAAAAATCAATCGTAAGACTTTGCGTATTTCTGTTTAATATTTGGTTAAAAGAACTTGGGAATGTCTGAGCAGGTTTGCCCGAGAGGTTAAGGGGGAAGACTTAAGATCTTCTGTACATAAGTACGCGTGGGTTCGAACCCCACAGCCTGCACTTTCTTTTGTTTTGAAAATAGTTTAGATTAAAGTTATACAATATTAAAATAATAATTATTTTTCTATTAATTCTGATGAAATTGAATTTTTAGAGTTTTGTATTTCCAATTCTAATATTGAATGTTTGAGAGTTTTATATTTCCGTTTCCATTATCATTTCTTGAAATCTTCAGGAATTCTAAACTTTACGAGAAGGAATTCATGTTATCAATACAATGATTATAAAAGGAAAACAGTATTTTTGTAAACCTTAATAGTGATGTGATAATGTTGTTTTATTGATCCTCTGTATAACATTAAGATTGAAAACAAATAAAGATTTTAAGATATTAGGTTGATTAATTCTAAAATTAAGTATTATAATGATAATGAGTGCCGATTCATGCACTATACTAAACAAATAAAACCTTCTCTACCAGATTCAATAAAATACGAATTTAAATGTTTAATTGCTTGGCACTATTAGTTATTTATTTAAATTTTTTTAGGTGGAATATATATAGAGGTGAGCAAACGAGTTACTTGATTCTGTTTTAGATAATTTTGATTCGGTTATTGATTAATCGAAATATAAAAAACAATAATTGAAACCATACCGAATTAAAATTTAGTTTTTTATATTTCGATTTTTAACCATTTAAAAAAGAAATTGAATGGGCTTTGGGTTTCTATATGGAGGCTTTTTATTATTTTTTTGTACGGACTAGGTCATTTTCCATCTTATTGGGCCCTCTATCAAGAGGTTTTAAATATATATATATATATATATATATATATATATATATATATATATATATATAAGTTAGGCCATCGCCTATATTACATGGGCCTCTCTATCTAGAGGTTTTTCATTTTTTTTCTCTTCTTATATGAGACATATCATTGCCTGTCTTACTTGGCCTCTCTATCTAGAGGCTTTTCATATATATATATATATATATATATATCTCGTGTGTGTGTGCGCGTGCCCGTGCGCGTGTGTTCTCAATTAAGGCTTTTTATTCTCTCTTACCTCTTAATTATAACAACAACATTTCAAACTTGTATTATCAAACATTTGCGGACAAGTTCTTTAAAATTGTTACGAACCACATAAAATATCAAACATATGCAATAAGAAAAAAAATAAAAGGGAATCAAACCACTAATTAGTTTAATATACATTTTAAACAAACTATGCGAGATGACAAGCACCACATCAATTATTCAACATGAACTACTAAACCAAAATGACAAATGACTTCGATTCCAATCATTATTCTTAAGCAATAGATACTCCATAACCAACACACATGAATTCAAATTATTCATAATTAAAATACAATCCATTAACTAAAAAAAAAAAAATCCTTAAAATACAATATGTTTGGCATACATAATCCAATAGAATAAATAGAATCTGTTTACTTTCAAGTCTTGGCAATGACATTCCCTCTTAAAAAAAAACACCATGTTAACTTAAATAATCTATCAAAATATTAAAAGTTTGAAAATTATTATACGAAGCAAATAAAAATTAAAAACTTATCCATGTTACCCAAAAAGCCCAAACACCATTAATCATTTAAATATCTATCATAGTGGAAACTATTGCCAAATCTGAAAAAAATATAAGATAAAAAAATCAATACTTTAACATTATTATAGAGGAAAGAAATAACAAATGAAAAAATAGAGTGAAAGAAATTACCGGCTTTAATTTTCTCAATATTTTGCAAATTTTCTTCGATCGTATTTGGTTTTGAAGAATTTTTAAGTCAATCTTAAGCATATATAAAAGATTCCGCTATGTTAGGAGTTACAAAACTCCTAAATGCATCAAGAAATCTTCCTTCGATGCTAAATATTGATTCTAAGAAAACAATAAAAATAAGAACTATGAACACATCATGAGCCATTTGTGAAAGGATGGAAAATCAAGAAAAATTATTTTTCCACCACTTTAAAATATCAAAATTAGTATTATCATTTTCAGCATCTTCACCAAAATACTTATCCAACTCTGTTTTATTTTCTCCATCTCCAGTATCATACTCGAATTTTCTAATATGCATCTTTATCTCAAATTTTATGCTAGTCTGTCCCCTTGTTTAACTACTTCTTCATTTACACTTGACACTTCTATTCTCCCACCACTTTGGCCAATTTGATCTTGAAGAATTGACAACCAAGCAATAGGAATCATGCATGGCATATATAGATTCCTTCACAAGATTTGTCATATTTTGACCATCAAGATCACCATACAATTCCTTAACCGAAAATTCAACAAATACAAGTTTATGCTTAGGATTGAGTATCGTTGTAATATAAATCAATTTATTTATTTTTTTAATATTCCTCCAATACTTTTCAAACTTTTCTTTCAAAAAAAAAAAAAAATCAAAATCCAAACTTTGTTGTCATTTTCTCAAAACATGTTCGTTCGAACAAATCTCTTCAAAATAAGTATTAGAAGTCACATACGAAGAACCCAAAATCTATAAACTAAGGTCGTCAAAAAATTTCAACATGCTCGTCATCTTCTTACAAGTCTTCCAATCATAAAAATTAGGCAAACTAACAACATTATCACCATGATCTACATTAAATTCACTCTCATATAAAGGATCAATTTGCTCATATCTTTTAAAAGCTTTTTCAAACTTTTGAGCTACATCTAACATCAAATATGTTGAATTTCACCTAGTCGTGACATTTAGATGTAACAAATTCTTAGAATCAATCTTTTCAAGTTCAATGCATTCTTTAAATCTTTCTAACCTAGTTAGAGATTGTCTCAATACTTAATGGTCGATCGAATACAAATAACGTAAGGATTAAAATGTTTCAACCCATTAACAATAACAAGATTTAAAGTATGTTCCATACACCTCATATGAAGAAAATCTCAATCTAAAATGCTATGACCCCAATTTTAATAACATCTTTTAAGTGTCTAATTATCAATCATTCGAACTTGCATTGTCAACTATAACAATAAAAACCTTTTCAATTTCTCAATCAATCAACCATTTGTCAATGGCAATGCCTAAATTTACCCCCTTATGATTATCAACCGAATAAAAATTCAAGATCTTTTTATGTAAATTTTAATCACTATTAATAAAATTAGCCATTAAAAGCATGTAATTGATTCTTTAAGTAGATGTATATGTGCCTATAGTGAGATAAACTCTTTCACAATTCTGTTTCAAGAATTGCTTTAACTTTGATTTTTCATCTACATAAAGTTGGTAGCAATTTCTTAAAACTATAAACCAGTTGGAATTTTGAATTCAGGTGAACAGAGACTTACCTAGTTACATCTACAAGCTAAAGGCTATCAAGCTACATGAGCAGCTCACAAGTTTTATTTTAGTTTCTGTTAGGTGTACAAGTCCATCTATTAACTAAAAATGAAGTTTGGTCCGATACATCTTAGCTACAAAATTGGAGTAACTGTCAAAAATCAAGCACTAACTCGTAAGCTTTGTAAACACATACATGTTATACGACAAGTTGAGGAACACTCTGGCCACCCCAGCATTTATCTAAAATAGCATATAGAAGCTATGCAAACAAAGTAAAACATGTCACTCAAAAGATCATTGTGGAGGGTAAACCTAGATGTAATAAACTTTATCATCCACAAGTTGACCATTTTTTCCCGCTTAATAAAACACTAAGGTATTTCCCACAACAAAGAACAAGAAGGGAGTGTTTCAATTGCAACTTTCTATTTGAACACTTCTAACAAATAGTATAAATCGAAAAGGCTGAAAGTAATTTGACTCCTGCCCTCAATTCAAACTCCACAAATAGAACAAAGTTTGACAAGCTCAATCTTCATCAACCAGAATGAAAATCAACTTTGGAAGGCTTTTGTCTTTTCTTGAACAAGCGATAAACAATCAGTTTCCAACTCCAACCCCTCGAGCCTTAAATCAGTTGCTCGTCGAAGATTATGAAATGGTACTGCTCGTGCTTCTGCAATATGACTTGTATAATTCTGAGAAAGATACTTATGGGGTAGGAGAATCACCTGTCCCCTACCATTTCTAACCACCACCCAAGGCAAAGACATTTTTCTGAACACGTTGCAATCAGTTATTCAAATATTAAAATCAAATTATTCTTCAAAGTTCTTGAGACTATAAAAATTCTAACAAATATCATGTCCTTGATAGCTAAAACAAGCAAAAAAAGAAGTCAAAGCTTTTTCTTTTTCTTCAACAAAGGATGTTGATCAGCCGTGGACCAGCTTTGGAGAACAGAATATAAAGACAAAAGGGAGCAAGAAGAAGCAAAAGAAAAAATGTAATTGACACTCACAAGATTTAAATTCCTATATTGCGGCAATTAAAGGATCATCAGCTCTTTAAAGCTATAAAGGATCACTCTGATGATCCTTTACCGCCAGTGGTTAATTACATTGCAGGCTATACAAGAAGAGAGCCATGAAAATTTACTTTAGAAATCTGAAATGCATGAACTCGCTAGATTAGAAATTTGACTCTATACAGGATCTTCTATAGCAGGAGAAAGAGTCGTATAGCTGAACCGAAATATTTTTGTTGTTTTGTTTTTCAAAAACAATAAAATATATAAATAAATAAGTTTTTGATTTAAACCGAAATATTTTTCTCAAAAACTAAACCAAATTAATTTCGTTTCGGTTTTTTTTTTATTTTTTTTCCAATTTTTCTACTTAAAAAACCGAACCCAAACTGATCCTTCAATTCAGCTCAGTTTGGTTTTTTTGGTTTTTACCAAAATTTGCTCACCCTTAAATATACATCTTGAAACACATAATATAACTTTTTGTTGTTTATGCCTTTTTGTCTACAAATTTTATAATATTTACCTTTTTGTCTCCCGTTACATTTTATCTTTTTATGTTCTAATAATTAGTATATTATATAATAATAAGTGTTATGATAGACTAGACTTGTTCGGCGATTAAAGAGCTGCGATCGAATCAAGCTTGAGCCTAAAATTAGACGAGCCACAAAACTCAGCTCAACTTATTGGCAACCCTCGGCACGTTACGAGTTCTTAGGCGCAAGGAGATGGCATTTTCATTGTACAATGCCACCCTGCCATTCTACTTCAACGAAAAGGTATGGTGGCTAAACGGCCACTGAAAAACCTACACTACAAGCTATGAACAGCCGCCTAATTGCTTGACGACCACATGCAAGCTCCCGAATAACATAAGATTATGGCGAGTCAACTTGAGCAAATCAAATCAAATCAAATCGCAGATTCTATAGTGCAAGCAATATGCTATTTCCCTCTCAGAGTCCATCAACTACAGCTAGTTATGATAGACTTAATTCCAACTGAAAATCTTCTCGATAAAACATTGTTCCAACCTCAAAACAAAACTCTTCAGAAAATTATTTAAAAAAGTTTAGGGTTGAACCCAATTCTACATGAGCTTATTCACTGCATATGATGTAACAACGAACAGATCCCACACAGCAGAATCATCAGTACTTATCTGATTCTAATAGGGTTCAACAGGTCTCCTGAAGTTTTTTCCGGCATAAACTGCTTCTGCACCAAGCTCTTCCTCGATTCTCAAGAGCTGCATGCGCAAATGTGGCGAGACTTAGACAAGCTATGAACTAGATATTTATTCAGAAGTACAAAACAGATTCAACTAGCAGAGATAAATATACCTGGTTATATTTTGCAAGCCGCTCAGACCTGCATGGTGCCCCTGTCTTTATTTGGCCCTGAATATTTAAACCATAAGGGAATAGGAGAGGACAAAAATCAGATCGAAACAAATTTTAGTTGCCAACACACAGATCTGAAATCTATTTCAGAAATTTCAATTACCGTGGCCAAACCCACTGACAGATCAGCAATGAAAGTATCCTCAGTTTCACCACTGCGGTGGCTGGCCATCACTCCCCATCCAGCTTGCTTGGACATCTTTACAGCTTCAATGCTCTCAGTAACAGATCCAATTTGATTAACCTGTTGTTGCCATGTCATCCAAAAAATTATATGCATATTTGTCAACATATAAAGGCAGAAAAGCTGGCATCAATCAGTTTGAATATTACTAACAATACCTTGAGGAGGAGGGCATTGCAAGCTCTCTCTTTGATAGCCTTCTCAACCCTCTGCAAGCACAAAGGAAAGAAAGCTATTAATGATTTCTTGTTTGATCAGTAAAATAGACTCCATGCAATCAGTGCTAATAAAATTTGAAAAACTGTTCAAGAAGAGCAGAGAAAATACCGACCTTAGGATTGGTGACCAAGAGATCATCTCCCACAATTTGTACTTTCTCTCCAATTTCAGCAGTTAACTTTGTATAGTGTTCCCAGTCATCTTGGTCAAATGGATCTTCAATTGATTCAATGGGGTACTTGGACACGAATGACTTGTAGATGTCCTTGAGAGCATCACCTGAGATCTTTTTTGAACCATCGTTGTTCTGCAAAAAGAAAAAAAAATGTATGAAATTTCACATATCCTCAACTACAGACAAACTATACACATCAACAATACCACAAAATGACCAGAACCAGCTGGATTTACTTTCTCAGATCACCACACAGGCAGTGATAGTTTTTATCATGCTAAAAAACAATATTCACCATGGTGACATTGCAAAAGCAAGAGAGGAGAAGAGGAAGGAGAAACAAGAATGAAAGATGTAAATGTATTTGTTAACTTTTTCTTTGCAAATCTAAAGATAGAATGCTCTCATCCTCTTGTCTCAAATTAAAGTAATGCAATCAATAAAGTTTTAGCATGCTAAAAAAACACTCACCTCTTCTTTGAAGTTCAGGTCATATGTTTTATCTGATCCATAAAATTCAGAAGCAGCAACATCCATTCCAATAACCACCTAATACAATGGCAGAGACTTTCAGCATGACATCCCTTGTTATGTCAAAATATCAAAAACCTACAAAAGGACTGGCAATCAAGAGACAGTGAAGAAGACACTAACTTTGTCTGTGTAACCAGATTTAGCAATGGCAGTCTTGAGCAATTCAAGTCCTTCCTCGTTATCCTGAATACAAGCCGAGTTTTGTACAATGAGCAAAGTAGTAGCAGAAAATGTGACAGCAAAATAGCAACAAAAATTTATTGAGTTAATGACATTTTGTGCAGAAAAGGTTACCTGAATATTAGGAGCAAATCCACCTTCATCACCAACATTTGTTGCATCCTGACCATACTTCTTCTTAATCACAGACTGGAAAATGAAAAAGCGTATGGTAACACATGTTACTTATGCAACCAACAATAAGCAGAAACCTTTAAGATGATGTTTACAGATGAATAATGCAGAGATCCATTTAAGGTCATATGTCAAAAAAAAAAAAAATTGGACACAGGAACCATTATTGTACAGAATCCTGAAGCTACTACATAAACCAACAACAAATTTATCAAATGTGACTCCCCCAGAGCAATCATACCATCATCATTGCGAGCTCATCACTAAGCCATCAAAAGGTTCAATGGCAACAAAAAACAGAAAAGGGCCAACAAAATAGAAATAATATTTGAAATGAAGGGTAGGTGCCTCCTTTTGTGTGTGTTTGTGTGGGGTTGAGGTGGGGGGAGGATACATCACCTTCAAATTATGGTATACTTCAGCTCCCATCTTCATGGCCTCTTTGAAAGAGGAAGCTCCTGTGGGAAGAATCATGAATTCCTGCATGAAAAAAGGTCAGATACTCAAATCAAGTAGCATCCTTGAAAAGTAAATTAAAATGAAGTATCAAATGCATGCCTGCATAGCAAGTTTATTTCCAGCATGCGATCCACCGTTGATGACATTGAAAGCAGGAACTGGCAGCACCAGGCTCTTGTTACCGGCAAGGTTGGCAATGTGCTGCACCCGAAAGACATGTTATTATAAGAATACTACAAGGGACAGCAGCAAAATAAGGTACAGGCATGATCATTTATATCAATTATTTTCACTGCAGAAGCAAGGTTTGTGTGATCCCAAAGAAACAAATGTGGTATCACATCAAGAGCAGGACTGACTCCATAGTTTCCTAGGCTTAGCCCAACTCACACTATTTCACCTTTGTGCAAGTTAAAGCCTATCCTATCATGAGACCACAACAGACACGGAACATAATTCAAGACTTGTTTTAGCAACCAAGATGGTTAGTACTCTCAAGGATCATATCAACAAACTGAAAAGGAGTCAAACAACCAGCAAATTTACCTTGTAAAGGGGAATACCCTTGGCATGAGCCCCAGCTTTGCAAACAGCAAGAGAAACTGCCAAAATTGCATTTGCTCCAAGCTGAAAAGACACCAAAAGGTGCATCAGTTAATAAACTTGCTAAAAACAACAGGAAAGTAAGGAAAAAAACCTAGCAAGCTACCTTTTGTTTGCACCAGCCCCACTCATTTACAGTTCCATCAAGTTGTTGAACCATGAAGTTATCAATAGCAACCTGCTCAGTTGGGTCCTGTAAAACCAAAAGAAAAGAAAGAGAAAAAAGTTAACACAGCCATAAAAAGAACCTATTAAAAAACAAAAAAGGATCTTAAGTATCCGGTGGAAACAACAAACCTTCCCAATCAATGCAGGGCCAATAATTGTATTGACATTCCCAACAGCCTAACAAATTATTAAAAAAAAACTCGATCAGTTATCAGGAAGAGAAGTATGGTAAAGCATAACGAAGGAAAAAAATGAATAGTACAATAAATTTTACCTTGGAAACACCCTTTCCAAGGTAATCTGAACCTCCATCCCTGAGTTCAAGGGCCTCGTAAACACCTGAAATCAACAAAATGGCAACTCATGCAACAGCCCAAATATAAATAATGATCAACGAATGATGCAAAAGCCTACTGTTAGTGAGTGGATTAGAGAAATCAAATACTCCGTACTGTATCAACAACATACCAGTGGATGCACCACTAGGAACGGCAGCTCTTGACAGCGCACCATCGGATGTTATCACATCAGCCTACACCAATTCCGCAAAAACAACAACAACAACCATATAAGTTCAGTTTAATTTAGTTCAGTTTTAGCCTAAAAATGGATGATTATGATGATGATGAAACAGAGGAGGCTTATAGCTACTAGAATTTAAATCGAATTAAACTGGAATGTTTCCGAAAACGAATCCAAAAGTCTAGAGATGAAGCGTCTCTTAATTCATTTACAGAGAAAAGTTTGGAAATCACAGAGATCTAGTTAATCTATTGAATCAAGAGACAAACCTCGACGGTTGGATTGCCACGGCTGTCGAAGATCTGCCTTGCCTTGACGGAGACAATGGTAATCGCCATAGCTTACTTAAGTAACGATTTAGATCTGGACACAGAAGACAAGGGTTTAGCTGCTTACGAGAATATAGTGGAGACTGGACAGACACAGAGGTATTTGTAGAGGAGCTTTGGTTAATTTTTAGCCGTGCGATTAATTAGGTTTCCAATTACTACAAAAATCCATGTTATTTCGTCATTTGCTTCGGCCTTTTTTTTTTTCCCCCCAAAAAGAATGTTCGATTAAGATACATTTCAAAGCAAATTACAGTTGAAAGAAATTGTTTTGCTTTTAAATTAAATTAAGTTATCGCTTATTGGTGGATATACTTGTTTTTAATAAAAAAACAAATCACTTAATCTTGGGATCCAATATTATCTTAATAAAAAATATCACAATATTTTTAAGAAAACATAATAGTCCGTTACAAAAGCCATCTTTACCGTGCTGCTTGCAATTTATAGCGCTATATATTGGCCAAATCACAAAACAGCATACAGCACCAACATCAAACAGTTTGACCTTTGTGTCTACTTCATGACGTCAATTAAACCACGAAATTATTTATTTTTCAAAAAAATTAATCATCCTCTTATGTTTTTTTTCCGGGTGTTCATATACTACATTGCATATAGAACTAATTATTTTTGAGGAATGGACAATAGGGTTTAACTCTTATTAACCAATACGACTTCATGATTTTAACTCTATATATTAATAAAATATTCGTTTGAAAATCAATTCCTTAATGGTTTGGCTAACAATTTGATGGTTTTTTTTTTTATCTTCCGACTTTACCTCAATCACCATCAAAAACAGTTAATCTCGCATTTTTTTCAGGAAACTTTATCCTAAAACTCCATGGCATCAGTTTGGAGCTTGAAAAGATGCTATTGGCCATCCCTATAAAGCCTCAAATAGATGCCCTGTTTTAGCAAGTAATTTCCTCGAAAACCATTACTTCTGGGAGTTGATAATAGATACACTATTTATAAAAGCAAGACGTTCGTTGCAAAGCTACATAAAAATTCTTTCTACTTTTTTTTGTTTCTCATTCTTTGTTAGCATCATTATTGTTTTCTATTTTTTTCAAACATGAAAGGGTAGGTACAACCGACTTTTCCCTTGTTTGTCTGTTGGCGGGGTTTGGTAACTTTCAAAAACGAGCTTAAAGAGTTTGATGAGATGAGCTACCAATGCCGCATGAAATATGATGGTTCTTGCTCTCTGCAAAAAATAATCTAAACAAAAGCAAAAATGGAGGAATTGGAAAGGACGTTTCGGCCTTTTGGTTCTCTAGATTACCAATTTATCTATCTTTAAATATCTTTTCCAATGTTAAAGAGTTGGAATTTTCATCTGAAGTTCTCATGATTAAATCCTAAATAATATATGTTGTAGTTTAGAATTTAAAAGCTACGACCTATTATATAGTGTAAAAGACACTTAAATTCGCATCATTGTCAATATATCCTCAAACTTTAAACTCCAGTGTTTAAGTTGAGTTCGTCCTATTTTTTGTTTTTGCTTTATTTTGCTTTTTTCCGATTAAAAAGAATATATCCTCAAACTTAAACTTACTTTTATATGCTGAAATTAATTAAATCTTTTAAATTCATAGAAAACATATTATTTATATCATGATATATATATATATATATATGACAAATTAAAGGTAAAGAAAATGGCAGAATGACAACTATCAAACCCATGGGGTAATTAATTTCATTTGTTTATTATTATTTTTTTTATTTTTAAAATATTTTATGTTTAAATGTCCAAACTAATCATCTAGTATTCGATCGGATGTACAAAATGAACACAAAACAAATACAACTATCTAAGAAGTTTTTAATATATACAAAGACTTCTAAACAAAATTACTTATTTAAGCGATTAGAGTCTTTTTTACGTAAGTGAACTAATTTTGTTCATTTATTCATAACTTGTAAACAATTGAGTATTTATGGCTTTTTTTTTTTTTAATTACCACAACAAATCTTGAACCTTGAACCACTTGTGAGTTAAGAGTTGTACAGTTGAAAACAGAAGGTTAAGTTGGATTATCATTTCAAGCTGAAGCAAAATAAATTAGCAGCAGCACTGTATTAAATGCATAGACGTCATGAATCATGATCGCCCTTCGCGTGATGGCTTGCTTAATGGGTTGACTCTTGCAAAATTTCAGGTTCTTTGAATTGGAGTGTCCTCCCTTTTTCCTTTTTTATTCTTGACAACAATATTAAAATAAAGAACTCTCAATTGTTAATCCATGTCAGATTTGGTGAGCAGTAACTGAGATGGACAGCCTCTTATTTAATTTATTTTCCTCTATGTGGGTTTAGTTTAAACTTTAAAGGGATTAATTAATTTGATAGGGTTGATGCGTGATTCATCCTTTTTGCGCATGCGCTTGGGTTGGAAGTACCTTTAATGAAAACGAAACTTATAACAACTTGATATTTATATTGGGTCAGAAGGTGTTTGTGTTGTCCTAAAATATTTATAATTTTTTTTATTATATGTATTTGTTTTAACGTAAAATATTTTATGAACGATTTTTAAACTTATTTCATTTGTTGGAAAATATTTTACTTATAATAATCTATTCACAATATTATTTAGCATTTTAACCATCTCGACCACAATTTTATCGTCATTATTTTTGCCACCACTATCATTTTGTCATCACCACTTATGAGGTTGAGGATCATCGATCTTTGAATGAATAGTCAAGTTGTCTCCTTGATCGCTCACATGGTGATGAAGAGGCTTTGGATATGTGATTTGAATGATAATACCTATAAAACAAAGTTTTATCCTTATGTTTACGAGGATCTTTTTATGGTTAAATTGATGTACATAGAGGGGTGAATATAGCCTAATAGGTGTGACGATGTAGTCGTGTATGATGTCTTTTCTTTCTAGTGTGAAGTGGAGAGTATTTAGTGCTTTTTAGGTAAGTGGATAGTGTTTTGTTCTTTTTAAGCAAGTAGACAGTATTTTGTAAGGTATAAAATATGTACAAGTGATAGATATGTCCTTCTACGGTCTCTTGATTCAGCTTTGTAATAAGCGAGTGGACTCTTTGTCTTCTCTTTGTGGTGTTTTTCGATTCTAACCTTATTGACTAGGTTTTACATTCACCGGACGAGGCTTTTTCATCTTTTTCTCTCTTTTCCTTTTCTTCTCTTTTGTTTATTCTATTTTTCTTCATTCCTCTTCCTCTCTCTTCTTTTCGTATGTCGGGTCTTTCTTTTATATAACATTATTGGCTTTGTCTTGCATAGAGATGAGAAGTCCGTCTTTTATCATCGTAAGGATGGTATTTCTTTCTTTCTCATAATGGTGGTCTCTCTTTCTCGTAATGGTTTGGTGCCCTTTTGTCTTCTTACTTATATGATGATCTCCCTAGAGAAATATTTTTTTCTAGTGTGAGTCGTATTCTCTACGTGTAGAATGATTTTTTATTTAAGACTCGGTCTTATCAATACTCTTTTCATAGTGCTCAAGATTTGGGATTAATACTAAGAAGAATGGTAGACTCCCGTTGGTGAGAACCCATGCTTATCCGGAATTTTGTGCGATCCCATTGGTGGTAGCAAAGACACCTTATTTGGATGGACACATGCCTAAAGCGTTTTTTTTTCCCCGAGCATATTAGCCACCACCACAACCTTTCGACCACCTTCACCATAATACATTATCACCGTTCTATTAACATTTTATTTTTCAAATTATTACCTACCGAACATCACAAAACTTTTTTCATGTAATATGTGTTTCCAAAAAAATTTTACATGTAAAACATTTTATTTTATACAAAACAAACACTCTCTTATAGATTACAATAATTAGCAATTATTGACATAATTGAAAACTCAAAATTTTTTTCATTGAGATAAGCCCCTTTCAATATTTTTATTTTTTAAAATACTACATAAACACATTCAAGTATGCCCAAATTGTTATGGTTATATAAAAAAAAAAAAAACAATTTACCTTTTGTTTATACATTATCTATTTTAATTATTTTGGTTTTATGATTTTAGTATCAATGTGTTTGAAATAGAAAATACATGAGCAAAACTAAATTCAAACTTACTATGCATATTTTTATTATAAATGGAAATATTTAGGATATAAACTTTGATGATTTTTCCTTTTTTTTTAATCAAACGACCATGTTTTCGGATATTATTTATAATTTTGTCTTACATTTCAATTTGTGTATAATATTACTTAAGATTAATTGAATGTTGTAATCCATCCGCATTAATTACGTGTACAAGAAAACTTACTTACCGTGGTAGACATCATTTTCAACTCAAAAACTTAAATTATTGGGTTATGAATTAATCATCTTGTCCACAAACATCTTAATTTTTTCTACCCTTAACTTATGTAGAACGTTTCACTTACAAATGCACCTAACACTACCTCTTATCTTACAGGGGAGAGCTTCAAATATGAAACCATTGATGGGACTACAAATGACTCGAGTTGAACCGATTTTTGATGTGTTCAACCTCGACTCATTTAGATTTTATTAGGCTCAAACTTGGCATTTTTAAGTTGCTTAATGAACTTACAAACAAGATAAATTTAAGTTTTCACTTATTTGTTGCCACATTCTTATCATTGGAAAATAAAAATATAATGTATCAAGAGACAAATAAAATAAAAAATTAATTAATTTTATCGTTATAAGTTTCGTAGTATATATTCCAATTAAAAAATACCAAACAAATACTTATCCATTAGTTGCAACTAAACAAACACTAACCTTCATATTCTATTAAATCTAGTATAGAAAGGTGTAATTCGTAGTATAGGTTAATTTTATGATTTAAAAAATAATATGATAAAATTTTATTTTTTATAAACTTTTTATTATATAAAGGAATAATAATGTATGTCATCATTATTATGTTTAGTGTGGTTTTAGACAATTTCGATTCAATCATCGACTAGTCAAAATATAAAAAACATTAATCAAAATTGAACCAAGTTAAAATTTTATTTTTCGATTAAAAATAAAAATTTTGGTTTTGATTTTTAATCAATTTTTTTTTTTTAATTTTGAACAGGATTTGGTTAAAGCTTTTTATTTTTTTCGTATGGATCGGCCATTGCCCATCTTACTCGGGCCTTTTTATCTAAAGGTTTTTGATTTTTTTTTTATATGAGTTAGGCCATTGTCTATCTTACATGGGCTTCTCTATTTAGAAGCTTTTCATTTTTGTTTTTATAAGAGTTAGGCCATTGCTCATCAAATAGGGGCCTCTCTATTTAGAAGCCTTTCATTTTTTGTTATGTTCATCTTAATTAGAAAATTTTCATTCACTCTTTCCTTATAATTATAACAACAACATCTCAAAATTATATTGTCAACTATTTACGGACAAGTTCTTTAAGATTGCTACGAACCATAAAATACCAAGCATGTGTAGTAAGAAAAAAAAAAAAAGAGGGAGTTAAACCACTAATTAGTTTCATATACTAGTTAGACTAACAACTAAGAAGAATATAATTTGAGGGAGGATGGAAGAAATTAGGTATCTTTTTTTTAAAAAAAAAACTACGCAAATGACGAGCACCCATCGCCTATTCAGCTAGTAAACCAAAATGACAAGTTGACTTCGGGTTCCACTCAATATTCTTAAGCAACGGATACTTTATGTCCCAAGGCAAAGATTTTGGATGAAAAGTAGGAAAAAAGAAAAAAAATAATTGGAGTCACCACCTAGTATTATGGTTACTAGGAAACCCTATAATTGATCTATTCGTAGTTATGGGTAAAGAGTTTTTCACGTGTAGGAAAGATTAAAAATCACCCTACCCCGTCCTACCTAAGGCAAGCTGCATTGCATACAAACATTAATTTGATTTTTTATTTTTGATGATGAACATCTATGCCTATCTCTCAAGCATTTACACACCGATCGAGTGATTTGAGACTTGGTCGGTCCGAGACCTCATCCTCACTCCGTAATGGATGTCTAAAAAAAATGATGAATGCAAGGATGTGTTGTTAATGCAACTTAGACAACGTGCATGAAACAAAACTTAAAAATATTAAGCAAATTGGCAAACGAGACAAAACATATAGATTGGTGAAATCGACAAACAAGCAAATAGGCAAAATTGACAAAAACGAACAAATAGGCAAACAATGGCAAAATCGATAAACATGCAAATTGAAAAAATCGATAAATTGATAAAATTGACAATTAGGCAAATAGGCAATTAGGCAAAATAGGCAAAATCAGTAAACAAGCAAATAGGCCAATAGGCAAAATGGGCAAAATCGACAAATTGACAAAATTGACAAACGGACAATTAGGTAAAATAGGCAAATTGGCAAAATTGATAAATATGCAATGAAACAAAATAGACAAAATAGGTAAAAGTGGCAAAAAAATCCACAAGTTGATAAAAATCGACAAATAGATAGATAGACAATTAGGCAAAATTGATAAATTGGCAAAATTAGCAAAAATCGATAAATTGACAAAATTGACAAAATAATTTCGAAACCACCGATAGCTTCATCACATAAGTGAGAAGCTATCGATAGCTTCATTGTACATTGCAATCAATCATGGATAGTCAAATAAACCACAAGAGTAGCACAAACTTCGCATTTAAACAAGTGGCCATAATAATAGGAAAACAAGGCATTTTGCCATTTAACGGTCATTGCAGTAATATTTCATTTTTTCAATCGCATTGAATCCATAAATGTGAAGCCAAATATCATAATTTTAATCACATTCTACACACACCAGTCATTTTTAACCTTTTAACATATTTTCGAAGTGCTCGTGGTTTTAGGATTTTTACCTAAGAATCTTGAAATGTCAATGTTCTATTTGGAGTCGGTCTTACCCTCTTCGTTCTCGATGATAATCGATTATTCGATTAGCTAGGAAAGGAGAGTAATCGATGATCGATAATGTGGGGGTGAGCATCGCTAAGGTGGCCAAAAACTCCTCCTTTGATAGGTTGCGAAATTGCGGCATTATTACAAAATTTGCGAGTTATTGAAAACTCCAAGTAAGTTTTGTAGCTTGTTTTCCTATAAAAAAATCAACCAAATGCGATCTACAATATCATGTTGTTCCCGACAACAATCCAACATCATACACTCTGTGCATGAACTTTTATAGCGAGGAGGAAGAGTTGTATAACTATCAAAGGAGGAGGGAGAGGCGATCATGAGTAGTAAGAGATAAAGGGTTTGCACTTTGGACGGTTGAGTTGAGATAAAGGTCGAAGAGAGACAGTCGTGATTTATTGGTCCGTGTCGGGGTTGTGATGGTGGTCGGGTCATGGGTATTATCGTTGGCTAGGGGTGGCAACTTTAGAGTTTAGACTGTGAAATTGAAAGAGATGAGATAATGTTGTTGGTTGTTTGCGGACGGGGTGACGACATAGGCGATCGAGGTGAGTGAGTGTGTGACTTAGAGTTAGGATAAAATGTATTTTGTTTTTCAAAAATAATAAAATATAAAAATAAAAAAAATTGGGATTAAACTCAATTATAATTCTTAAAAACTAAAATGAATCGGAATAATTTTGATTTTTTAATTATTTTTTTAATATTTACTTTTAACCGAATCAAAACGGAATTTGATTCGATTTCTTAATTTTTACCGGCTCACCTCTAGACGTGCATTGCATTTTTTTCCATCAAGCCACCTAAGCTTGCGCGATTAAGAAGCAATAAACGTCATCAAGCCACGAGGCTCGTTGACTACTTTTTCCTTTTGGGTAAACTTTAATTTTCCCAAAGGTTCGAAAGATTTCTTATTTTTTTCTATTTATTTTTTTTATCAATACCTCCTTGAACTTTTATCAAAATTTCAATTATTTCTTCTATCTATTAAATTAATATAACTAATGATATGATATTTTTTATTGACTTTCTAAAGTATTAAACAAGTCTCAATCATATTAAATTTCATAAAATTTGTCTCATAAAAATTTGAAAAAAATTAGAAAATAGTATTAGTTCGATTAGAAAATACCACATCATTAGTCACTAGTTTGAGTTTATGAATTTTAATATATTTGGAAAGATTAATATGGAATTTACAATTATGATTTGGAAAAAATATATATATAGTGTGTTAATATTATCAATTTTGTTATATTAAACTTTATGTTTTACATAGTTAACACACGTTTTCTTGGGTATTTATTTTTTGAATATATATATATAAAGATGATATCAAGTTATGTTAATTTTTTTAATAAAAAAAAACTATATGTTAAGTTGGTATTAGATCATTTTGATTTCGTTAAAATATAGAAGATTTGTAGTATGATTTTTTATATTTTTATCAATATATTTTATATATTAAAAGCTCATGAATTTTAGGAATATGAGATCACACTCACAATTCTAAATAAAAAAGCAAGATAGGTAATACGATTGACAAATGTGTGTTTAGCTAAGATCTTCTTAAAAAATTTAGGAAGTATTGAAACATAAAAAAATATGGCATCATTAGTTATGTTAATTTGATAGGTGGAATGAAAGAAAAAAAAATTTCGGGAGAGTAGGCCTCTTTCCCTTCATGAACATGAACAGGGGCAATTGGTCCTCGTTGACGAGCTTTCTCATGGAACTAGAGATTAGACTCGACTTTGACTTAATGGAAGAGCGTTCGGGAATAAGAGTATCGATTTCTAACTTAATCACACCGCTCGGGTTGGACCTTGAGATTGGACCGAAACCTCGTGAAACTTCCTCGTTTAACAAAAGGGGTACAGGCAGAATCTTCAATAGCGATTCAGGTTTAAGTGAAAAGATTGGTCCAGTACTTTCGCGTTGTTCAGAGTACCCTTTCTGTGTAATGCAAATAGCCTAATTAGGATGATTGGGCCATGCAGTGGTAGGACCTAGTGAACCAGGTGCATCACTTGACTTTCTCTATATTCTCTTACGTAAATTCAAGCTTTTACAGAATCAGAACAGAGGACCATCATTTCATTGGCGGAGATTTGAAACTTTAATGAAAATTTAGATAGTAATTGATAAAAATAAAATTTCAGAGTAGAAATTGAGAAATAACTCAATTTTAAGTGAGACAAATTAAAATGTATCCTTTCCTTTTCTTTTTATCACGGAAAATAATAATCTCAAAGGTGTCACTGCCTTACCCTACTTAGTTGTTTCTAACAATTTGTATAATCAGACGGTATCCAAAAAAGAAAAAAAAAGAGAAGAAAAGCGAACACTATAGGGGAAAAGTTTATTAATGCTAGTAAAATAGTAATCTGTGTAATCAAACATTGATATCGCGAACGAGAAGCATAGAATTCCACTATCAAACTTACACCATTTCTATCAGTTTATTTCCTTTCAAAGAAGCAATGCCGACAATCACTCAAAACAATTATAAAAAAAAAAAAAAAGACAAAACAGCTACAAAATCTCACAATTACAACGCATTCCAAAATGAAGGGAAAACTGTATCTACTTTGGGGTCAAAACCCAAAAGCTGACTTTCGGTTGCTCCTTATGCAAACGTAAAACAATTATTACGTGTTTTAATTTCCGTAATTGATTTTTGGGTATTCACAGGAAAAACTAAATCTTTGGATGGAGTCATATCCACTCGACTAACTTTTATGCTTGAAACCTAAAAGAATGATCCCCTTCTTCCGTCTTTTACACAAAGCAAAATAGCAGAAAATTCACTATAAACAAATAGCCCAGGCAGATGGCCAAGAACAACCCAACTGCACCCAATAGCCGTTACCCTCACGAGCACACTAGAAATTGGGGGCAAAGGTGCCAACACAGCCGAAACCCACGATAAAGAAGGCGATTGCTTGCGCATAAAGGTATATGAAGTAGTGGTTTTTCCCAAAAACAACATCATAGCAACCGCAGAAGAAGAGGTAAGCTCCAGTCCCAAGCTCTAACAAATGGAGTCTGCCAATGTTCAATGTACGTAATCATGAATGAATTGATGATAGCAATATATAACACATTCGCATCAAGAAATTAAGTCATGTGTACCTTTCTCCAAATCTAAATCGGGGTTTCTTGGGGGCTTTGTTGGTTTTGCTCTTGAGAGCATCCCCTAGTTTCTCAGTGACAATCCACTCATTCACTCTGCCAGCCTCTAGTAAGCCAATGAAGGTAGCCTTGGTGCGGTGCAGTGACATTACATTCTCAAAGAGGATCCAGAGAACCAACAAGTGGAGTGACCTGCAAGAACAACAACGTGGATATTAAATATTCTATAGAATTAAGTTATTAGCCACAAATCTGCTCGCTGTTTAAAAAAATTTATGCTCTTCGAAAATAATTATTCAACAGACAAAACCAATAAATAACCTACCTTGGGGTTCCAACCGCATTTAGAATGGTAATGATGGAAGGAATATAAACAGCTCCCCACTTAGGGACCTCAACTTCAGGCACCAAAACAGTTGCCGGCAATACAACACAGTAAAAGATAAATGTAACAAGGTGAGCTACTATCTTCCTAACGAAGAAGAAGCTGTAGATTACGTGCACTTTCTTCCACGATGTCACTTTCTGCAAACAGTTCATCTCTTAATTAGTTGTTTGTTCCCTCCACAATTTCTTACTTACAGATTAAAATATCATTTTATACAAGCCAAAAAAAAGAAAAAACCTAAATTACCTTGTTTTTTATAATTTCCAGTAACATTTTCCTGAAAAGGTTAGCAGGACCACAAGACCACCGGTGCTGTTGATAGCGATATGCTTTCAATGTACTAGGCAATTCATTTTTTACCTGTACGTAGTAAATATTACATTAATTAGAGAACCCTAGAAAAAACAATTTGCTTATTTTATTTGAAATGATAAAGAATGTTTCTTTACGATGGAACAATCATTTAAGCATCTTTCAAATTTTATACTAATAACTCAATAAGACATGCATACAAGTGCCTCGAAAATGAAAGTTTTGTAAAAAAACTTCAGCACATGAGAGTGTCAGAAGTTGATCTCTTCAAATAACTTGCATTACTTTTTTAAGACAAAAAAGACCCAACTTGGCTATTCTAATTAGCTAATTAGATGTAACAATTTGGTCAACTTCATTAATTAAAAACACTTTGCATAGGTAGCTAGCATCTAAACAAGGATTAGTAATCTTTATGCAAATCTTTTTAATAATTACAGTAATTACCTTTAGACTACCAAGGTACAAGAATTTCCAGCCTTTGAGACTAGCTCGGACTGCTAGGTCCATGTCCTCCACAGTGGTTCTGTCCTTCCATCCTCCAGCTTCATTAAGTGCAGCAATTCTCCATACACCTGCCGTTCCTGTAGCATAACGTACGAAATTTCAAATTCATATATATTGCCAAATGCAGCTTGATTCCCAATTCAATGAAGCTTTTTGTTACATTGATCAGCAGCGCTACTACAGTAATGTATGGATGTACCATTGAAGCCAAAGAAGGCATAAGTGGAGGAGCCCACTTCTTGTTCCACTGTAAAATGGTAATCCAAAGACATTTCTTGCATTCTTGTCATCAAGCAATCATCAGCATTCACTGCAAAACAGCCCAGAAAACCATTTCCCAGTCACCAACATAGCTGTCGTGGATTTTCTAAATAATTACAACTCAACATGTTTACCGCTCAAGAAAACATCAAATTCAAGTTGTGTGTCGGTGAGTAGAGACAGACTGTGACAGGCGCATGAGGTCCACCATTAAGTTTGCACATGCAAGTGCTAGGAATTTTAAGAAGTGGGTTCTAACATATGTTCTTAAGACAGATATAGCCCTAGGGATACTCAGGAATGGCTAAGCATACCCATGCTCTTCCTTCGTCTTTTTGTTTCAACATTTATGGGGGTATAGATCGGCCAAAAATCTAGCATTTCGCTACCAAGTAATTTATGGCACATTGGCAGCTTTTGCAGCAAAAAGTGAATGGCAGTATTTGTTGCTCAAAAATAATTCAGATTACCTTAATATTATATGGCCCAAGAACCATCCTTGGTGGTCCATTTTCAATCTCCACCATACATCTGTACTTGTTAGGTTGGTAGATCTTTACTTTTGTAGTAATGCATATAATCGCATCACGTAAAAGAAAAATAGGGAAAGCTTGGAACGCAAAGTGAATTATACATATGGGGTATTCCATCGATTTGGTTCGGTTAAAAACATTGAATAATTTGCCAAAAAAACCAATTAATGATTTTTTTAGTAAATCATAAATTAGTTTTTCTAATTTTAAGAAATGAATTAATTAGTCTTTCTTGTTTTAAAAAACTAACTATTTAATGATTTTTATATATATTATGTTTTTTTCTAATTTATTTTGTTTTTAAAAAATAGATATTAAATAAAGTTTGATGAGGGAAAAAAATATTTTTAAAGTAAAATAATATTAAATGATAAGATGTGTTTTACGGCGCGCCACTATTTGAAGAGAGAGGAAAATATAACACACATATATTTCACAGATAATCAATCTCAAAAAAAATGATTTAATAGTTCTTATTTTTTTAGGGTAGAAAGGTTTGCGTCTTCAAAATAATATTAATAAAAAAATTTAATTAACGTACAAACTTATTCAAAAAATATTTATTTATAAATTAAATAGAAAAATACAAGTATAATAATAATGATAATAATAATTTATGATGTTTTGGCCCAATTGAAGCCGTTTGGCATGTGAATACACCTAAATAGACGCAGCCAATGCATGACGCGTGTCTGATCCAGATGGCAATCGAGGACTAGATGGTGTTAGACCCACGAGGTAGGACATAGTAGTCCCCCACCCAACCAAAATCTCCAAAACCCAACAAAAGACCCACCGACAGTTTTTAGAGAACAGTGCAGCCAAAGTATAGTACTAAAATCTAAATTAAGGAGGAAGTAGTGCCAAAATTAACAGCAATGACAACCAAATTAACGTTGGAGAAAATAGTGACTAAAGCGAGGTTACCGAATTTCCAACGAGTCTGGACCAAACCCAATTCTGGGTTGTGGACGAGAAAGGGAATGGTGCGCCATAGAAAATCTGGTTCAGGCTGGAAATCTGCGTCAAAAATGGCAACATAATCGCAGCTCTTCGCGTAGCTTCGTTTCATGCCCTCTTTTAATGCCCCAGCCTTATACCCATTTCTGTTGTCTCTAATCTCATACTTTATGTTTATTCCTTTGCTTGCCCATCTCTGACACTCTAGCTCCACCATGTCCTGCATTCCCATCACCAACACAATTAACATAATTTATTTATTACTCCACCTTACTAATTCAAGCAAACATGCTGAGAAATGGGATTTAAAATAAAAGAATGCTCTATTTAAGATCACTAAATGATCAATGTCGAATAAGTATATACTTGACATGGTTATTTTTATTAATTACCTTGATTGTTGGGTCTGTTGAATCGTCAAGGACTTGAATAATGATGCGATCAGAAGGCCACGATAGACCACATGCAGCTCCAATTGAAAGCTGATAAACCTGGAGGATGGAATAAAATGAAAATGTTAAATTAACCAATAACTAATATTACTAAACAAATTAATGAGTTATTCTAATTATAAAAAAAAAAAAACACAAGTTTAATTATGCAATCTAGCACTGGTAGTATAAATACATAAAAAGAAAGTGAGAAAAGAGAAGGACCTCTCGTTCGTTGTACATTGGGATTTGAACCAGAACCATGGGATAAGCTGAGTTTCCCAACTCAACATCATCTTTCATGGGCTCCCATTTGTAACGCCTCTCTGGTTTCCGACCAAAAACCTTAACGAAAATTATAACAATGCCCATGTAAACCCTTTCAATGAATAACATCAAAGACATGATCAGACAAATGGCAACTGCGAGCTTTAGTAGAGGAACTATCAATGGTGCTTTGATCTGGTCCCAAATTATGGCAAATTGCATTGTTACGTCATCTCTAGCACCTTGAAATGCATCAGGAATCATCTGTGTTGACGTTATTCTCTCCATTTGTTGCCTTCTTGATCTATGATTAGTATATATTTCTCAAAGGGAAAAAACAGAGCAAAAAACAGAGTACGATTAACAAATGGGAACCTAGAAACAGTTTTTATTGAGGAAACCCATTGGCTAGCTAGATCTGAATGGGACTCAAAGGACCTCCTTTGACAAAAGAGAGAGAATATTTCTTTTTTGGCTTTGTGATTTTGCTTCTGGTATACGCAAAAAATAAACAATGGACACGGAGCTGGAATGTCAGCTACTGCTTGAAAATACCTACTATATTACAGACACCCACAAAAGATAACCAGAAGAAGAAAGCCTCTATAGTTGTCTATCTGCCCAAAAGAAAAGAAAAGGAAAAAAAAAGAAAAACAAATTGGCAGAAGCAAACAATGAAGAGACAGGTTTCTTCCTTGTGTGGTTTTGTTCCAAAAGAAAAAATGGAAAATGAAAAGGTATTTCTGCTTCAGGAAAGAGAAGCAGAAACAATGCAAACACAAATCTAGAAACAGAGATAAATGAGGAGAGCAAGAAAAAATGGAAAAGAATAATGCCCTTTATATAGGAGCACTCTGCATCTCTCCCTCTAGCTGTTCTGTATTTCTCTCTCTTCCCTATTTTTGTTTTAAAATTATTTCCCTCTTCTGTATTGTTTTCCTTGTTTCTCCTTCTACAGGGATAGCCCCCACTCCTTCACCCACAATTGCACCGCTTATTTAAACCAAGTAAACTAAGGTGAAAATGAAGTAACTAACGGCTAGCAGTCTCCACTCTCCAGCACTGATTCTTCAGAAATGTCGCGACATCTGTTCTGCCCACCATCAAATATCACCCATGTTAGATACAGCCTCATACACATTGCATGTAAGAAAACAATTTTTTCTTATAAAAAAAATTTGGATACAAAGAATACAGCATGATATACGAGGAATATATCATACAACCAAGATGCAATTTTTTATTATGTTTGTAATTTTATTTTGAAAAAATAGTTTCAAATGTAAATGATAAATGATCATGTTGTTATATTGGTTTTGTTTTTTGTTTTGTTTTTTTTTTTCTAAAGTATTTTAAACACAAAGACCCATATAAATCTTTATAAGATAGATACTGTTATTCAAAAAAAATTTACATATACAAAAATTTAAAATCGAGATCATTTGTTTAAACGATTAAAATATTTTTCGTTTAAGTCAACCCTCTTAAGTTATATTGGATGTGTTTTAAATGAAAATATAAACACAATAGTTTTACTTATTTTGTAAGTCCTTATAACAACCAACGTTATGTTATAATTTCTAGATTAAGAAAATATTTATTTTTATTAATAAATACCAAATTAAGATAAATTTAACCAGCAATAATTAAATTTGAAAGATAAAAATGGAAACTGCCACCGTTCCTTTCATTAAAAAAATATATCATCTTATAGATTATGTTGGTAATTTTATTTTGAAAAATTAGTTTCAAACGTAAACGATAAATATCATGTTTTTATATTGGGTGTGTTTTTTCTTTTTGGATTTCCAATGTATTTTAAGCACAAAAACGCAATAAATCCTTATAAGATGGATATTGTTTTTCAAAAAGTTTCTGTATGTACAAAAAATTGAAATCAAGATTATTGATTTAAATGATTAAAATATTTTTCATTTAAATCAATCCTCTTGGGTTATATTTGTTTTAAATGAAAATATAAAAACAATAGTTTTACCTGTTTTGTAAATCCTTATAAGAACCAACGTGATGTTATAATTTCTAGATTAAGAAAATATCTATTTTTATGGATAAATGCCGAATTAAGATAAGTATAACCAGCAATAATTAAATTTGAAAGAGAAAAATGGAAACTACCACCGTTCCTTTCATAGTCACCATCATAATTATCAAGTTAAATTAATTTTGAAATCTCCGAAATTAATCTATAATTAGAAGGAGATAGCAATAGCATGATCTTTGTTATTTCATTCTTATGAATCCATACATTAGATAGATTCATTTTAATGCTGTTTTATATATTATTAAAATAAATTAAATATGACATGTAAAATATTAAAAAGAAAATTAGCTTACGAATCCATTACTAGCAACTGATCACATCCTACTAATTTTTTAAAGAACGGTCATACCTCCATGCCCATGATGTGTTGTCCTTGTATCCGTTATTCATGTGCATGCTTTATCCCGATCGTTATTTTATGCGATGTCATGTTTGTGTGCATATGCTCGATAGCAATGACTCGTTTCTGAACATTGGTTGTAACCTTTCTTTTGCATGTTCCTCAAATGGTTTGCATGGCCTAGTTGTTAAACTTTTTATATAAGAAGTTTACTATTATTATTATTATTATTAATAATAGGGATGATGATACGATGGTTAATTATAGTCAATACACTACGAGTTGAGATTTTATTCGATTAATAGTTGCAGAGATTTATTTATTTATTTATTATTGTTATTATTTTTGTCTTTATCATCGAGTTTCTTTACTTTTTTTTTAATCTTAAATTCATCCATTTATATTTAGTTTATGTCTTAATCTAGTCATTCTATTAACTTTTAGAGTAACAGGGTTAATTTATTTTTTTCTATCTGAATCTCATCTCTTTACTCTATTTTTTTCCTTTCTTAATCTTGTTTTTTTTGTCAAATTTAAATAAATAAATTTTGAAAGAAAATCTGCAAAAGATAAAATATATTTGGTCGTTCTCTCTAAAAATTAAAAAAAAAAAAAGGTGAAGCTCAAATATTTTTTTATCCAACATATTTTTTATGGGTTTAAATTCATCTTGATGATAGCAAGAAACTTTTGAGTATAAAATAAAATTTATATTATCTTTTTAAATGTTTATAGAGTTTTAGTTAAATTTTAAAATTTTAAAATGATATTTATAACTTTATATACTTGAAAAGAGTATACTATAATTTAATTATTTTTATTTTATAAATTATTAATTTGATTCAAAAGTGAGAATATAATTTTTGTTATAAACTTTAGTCAAACTAAAAAATTTGCTAGTTTTTGGATCCAACACTAATAAAAATTTATATTTTCATTTTTTTGTCAAATCAAGAAATTTATAAAATAAAAATAAGTAAATTATAGTAGACTATTTGAGGTATTATAAAATTATAAATACCATTTAAAAGTTTAAAATATTTTAACTAAAATTCTCTTAATATTTACAAAAGAATATAATAAATATTTTATTTTATACTCAAAATTTGTTTACTATAACATAGAGATGTTAAAAAACTATAAATATTTTATTTTATACTCAAAATTTACTTACCGTGTAAAGACAAATTTAAGCTCATAAATAATTTTTTGGATTAAAAATATTTTTATATTCATCTTTTTCTATTTTTTTAATTATCAATTTTGCAGAGAGAATGATCGGATACATCTTCACAGCTTTTTCTATTTTTTTTTAAATAAAATTTATTTATTTAAATTTGGTGAAGAAATAATATTAAGACAAAAAAAAAAAAAAAGAAAGAGAGAGAGTGGATTGATGAGATAATAATAATAATAACACTATTAGTTCAAAAATTAACAAAAAAAAAAAAAAACGAGATTAAAATAAAATCCAAATGTAAAAGGATGAAATTAAGAAGAAAAAAATAAAAGTGACACGTTGAAAAAAAAGAAAAAGAGTAGAAAGATCTCTTCAACCATTAACCTTGAATTTATTTGAGTTTTGTGAATCGAAAGTCTTATATACAACACAAACAAATATAGTACAATGGTTGTGTATCTAGTAGTTATTTTTAATAAAAATAGATTCGAGTTTTAATAAATTTTTTTTTTTAATTGTATGGTACAAGATCTAGAATTTGATTTTCCAATTCTCGAACTGGTAACTATTCTAATTATTTCCCCTAAAAATAACATTATGAAATAGCTGGTATATATTAATACAGCTAACCTAGCAAAAAAAGTTCAAATGCTTTCTTCCTTTATTTTATTGGTAGAATATTGTATGTTTAAATCAGTTTTGTGCATGACATCAGGTTCAAGAAGGACCCCACTACTTGATTGTTTGACTTTTCTTTTATAAACGATTATTTTCATTCATCGAAGAAACCAAATAGAAGTAATTAATTTTTCCAGAAAAGAAAAAAAGCCGCAATGATAGTTTTATGCAGAAAACTGGACCTCTAACCTATGCATTTATTTTTATTTTCCGTCTTGATCGTCCAAGCAACCAATTCAGCTAAAGGTGAATTCCCAAAACAATTTAATCCCTGCAATTGTTCGAGTTCTATCCAATGTCAAGTTGCAATTGATTAAGAGGTTGTTTTTTTTTTTTCCTTCTGAAATCAAATCAATGATCCCTCGTTCTGAAAAAGAAGTCAAATACATCTTATCAATGACTGTCCTTGCACCCATCATCGTGCACTAAGCAAGGGGCGACCTTATTTATCCCCCACCCCTGAATAAAAAATGATCCTCCTTGATAAATAATGGCAAAACCCACCAATGACACCTGAATTTTTATAAGTCCACCAAATAAGTCCTTTTATTTTTAATTATATCTATCAACATATGTATTTTCAATTTCGATCAACTGAATACGATTTTTAAAAATTACTGATTTTAATGCGGAGTCTGAATAAAAAATAATATATTCATATATATTGGGATCCGCATACAATATTTATATTAGAGATGCATTTTTTGTTATAGAGCTCATTCAGTGTTTTCAAAAGGAAAAGAGACATATCAATTTTCATTTCAAAGGAAGAAATCAACCCTCAAAAGATAGGAAAAAAAAAAAAACCAAGAGTGTTTATTTTGAAACAATATATATCAACTTGGATACCATTAATTGTGTCATGATTTTTTTTTTAACTCCATTAGCATGTAGTTATTTTTTTTAAAACCAAATATATAATTTACCGGATTCGATATCAAGTAGTTTCTTTTCGTTGATGACAGATTTATAATCATTGGTTATATCTAGCATTAAAGATTGGTGTATAAGCAAACAAATTTGTTGAG